AGAAGCAGCAAGGCTGGGGTGGGGGTTGAGGTGGGAGGTGAATGGGTGGGCAGAACACAGGGCCTTGGGGGGCCACAGTGAGAAGCATGGGGTTTGGTTTGGGCATCGGGCCTGTTTTTAATTTGTCCCTCTCAGAGAACAGGAGCGTCTGGGACTGGAGCACAGTCAGGAAGCAGAAGAGACAGCGGGGTGGTGTGGCCAGAGCCTGGCAGGAGTTGGAGGACTGGCTGGGATACGATACTTTTAGATGCTCGTCTGTGAAATGGAGGAAAGTCTAGCTCTGTCTCAGCAGGGCCTTGGGAGGGCTCCGGAGGCAGTGAGCACTCTTTTGGCATCAGGACCAGCAGTGGCGACTTAAAGGTGAAGAGGTTGATTCTGGCTCATAGTTTCAGGTTTCAGTCCATGGTTGGCTGGCTCGAAGGCCGGAAGCAACATGGTAGACAAGTGCATCAGAGCAAAACTGCTCACCTCATGGCATCCCGGAAGCAGAGAGAAAGGAACTGGGGACCATATGGTCCCCAAGGTCATGTTCCGTGATCTGTTCCCTTCACCCGTTCCATAACCTCCCAAGAAAGCCATCAGATTATGTTCTCACCAGTGGATCAGTCCACTGGTGAACTTAGAGCTCCTGATCCAAGCGCTGCCCAAAGCCCATCAGCAACCAAGCCTTCAACACAGTGGGCCTTTTGGAGGCATTTCGGATCCTAACCATGACAAGGTGGAAGAGGGAGATGTGACCCAGGGGACAGTGCTGGCTCTGCTTCTGAGCAGCCTGTGAGCTGAGCAAGGGATTGCTGGAGGGAGCAGGGGCTGGCCTGAAGGGGGCGACGTCAAATCCAGCTTCACCATCTTGTCTGTGTGATTTTGGGTAAACTAGTGAACCTCTTGGGCTCAGGTTTCCTCACCTGTCCAATGAGGACACTATTTAGAGGACTACATGAAAGATCACACAGCTGGCACAGTGTAGTCCACACTTGCCAGGCTTGCTGCTCTGAGATCCCCTCTGGGGAGGTGAGAACGTCACCACCGCATTTTATAGATGAGCCAATGGAGGCTTAGAGAGGGCAAGTGACTTGCTCAAGTCACCTAGTTTGAAAGTAGAGGGCTCAGACAAGCTTGCCAAATTTGGAAACATACACCCCTCTCTCCATGACCTTCCTGAAGTCTCTTCCGCTGTGGGGAAGAGGATCTGAGCTGGTGCCCTATGCAGGCCATTTTGGGTTCTCACAGACCTGTGCCTATGACCTCTTGGGTCTTGTGGCCTGGAAAAGACAAACTCTGGGCTCATATTCTGCACCAGGCCCCACCTGAGATGCTCAGCCTGGCTTTGTCCTCTGAGCCACAAGCACGCGGGACAAGGAGCATTTTCCAGGGTTATGAAAAGGCAAGGACTTGCGTGGGTTGGGAGCATGGCCTTGGAGCCAGGTGGCCACCCACCCTAAGCTCTGCAGCCCCCTTCCCTCAGGAGAAATGCCCCTTTCCTCCGGGGACAGGACTCCCTGCTGTAATGCTGGTGGCTGTCAGAGCAACCAGCTGCACAGGCAGCTGTGCTTCCCTGACCCGAGGGGAGGATGGGCTGGTTGGCCTTGGGGGCCCGGATGGCACCAAGGCCACCAGGCCACTGTTCCATCTCCTCCCGCTTCTCAACCGATGGGTCGCACCTCTTCTCCAGGCGCTGGGAGGGAAGGGGGTGGAGGCATCTGTCCTCAGACGCTGCCACTATTTTTGGAGCTTACATGGGTCCTAATTCTGGGGCACGTAGGCTGGGCCAGGCTACGAGCAGACGCCACTTGAATAACGTCAGCCACTGATGCCATCAGTCTGAACTGGCACATCTAGAGCTGGCACAGACCCTGGCCCCCTTTTAAGATGCCTCACAGCCAAGAATCCCCTACAACTGTCTTCACTCGGCTCTGTCCCTGCAGACTGCAGAAGGAAGCAGCCCCAGCTCAGAGCCTACATGGGCTCTAGGTGGCTTGGGGGCCACCCTGGCCTGGGGCCTATGGCATCAGGCTTTGGGGCCGCCCCTTATGAGGGGCACAGTGTCGTGGAACCCAGGTCAACTTTCTACACTTGGTGCCAAACCTTGCCTGAGTCACACAGAGAACACAGAGAAACAATCCCCACCCTCCCTTCTCTGTACCCACATCCCTCAGTTCTCCTGTGGAGTAGGCACCGAGAGGCCACTGTGTGACCAGTGGGGCCAGGATTTGCACCCAAGCAGGGGGCTGAGTCTGTGCTGCCAACCCACTCACTGTGGCTCATGAGGAGCACGTTGCCAACTATTTATAGGTACACATGCATCTAAAATGTACTACGGGGGCAGTGCTCAGTGGCAGAGCACATGCTTAGCATCCTTTGAAACACCAAAGTTCTAAGTTTTAGTGATGTCTAGTTCATTTTTTCTTTTGCCTGTGCTTTTGGTATTGTAACTCAAAACCCCTGTCAATTCAAGGTGTTAAATATTTACTCCTGCTGGTGGCTCACGCCTATAATCTTAGCACTCAGAGACTGAGGAAGGAAGATCTATTAGAATTTGAAGACAGCTGGGACTACACATTGAGTTCGAAGCTGGACCATAGAGCAAAACCTTCTCTCAACAAATAAACAAACAATCAAAGACCCAGGCCCAAGAGTCTCCGTCTCCCGCAAAACAACACAATGCAAGGCAAATGAAAAACATGGAAACAAGACTTGAACAGAAAGTAGGGGACTAGAATGGGCCATACCGAGCATGTGGCGAGGACCTAACCTGGACCTTTTGTATTTATTCATCACATAAGGACGGATAAGAATAGGGTGGGGGATACATGTGGCATCTGGTGATACCAGCTGACGTAGGCAGGGCTTGGAGAAACCAAGGTAAGGCATTCTTGCAAGAGGAGCGGAACAGACCCGAAGGTAGGTCAGGTAGGTCCCGGTTAACTAGTAAACTACTGAGACAATTAAGGGAGGGGTAGCTCTAGGAATAGAATGTGGTTTGGACTCACACTGGTCCTTGGCCACAGTGTTATCTCACGTAGGAGCCCAGCAGCTTCCTGCAGATCAGGGTTTGGATCTCCCTGGCAGCGTTGGCTGGGAAGCTGTACTACCCTGTGCGCCCTTCAGCAGGCTCGTGAGTCACGCAGGCTTCAGTCTGGCTCCACACGTAATGTAGCCAATTATAAGGAAAGAATGCTTGCTCCACATTACAGCCTGCTCTAAAGCCTGGCTGGGGTGGCGGCGGGGTGGTGTGGGGTGCGGGTCCTGCCGCAACAAACAAGCGACAAAGATTTCCTCCTGTAGTTGGTTGGTTTGATTGTTCTTTCCAGTGCTGGGAATTGAGCCCAGGAATTTGTATCTGCTAGGCAAGAGCTTTACTGTTGAGCTACATCCGTAGCCTCCCGCCTTATGATTTCTTGTAAGATTTTATAGTTTTAGATCTTACCCCCAAAACTGTTCCACTTTGAGTTAATTTTTGTTTATGGCATGAAGTTAAAGTCATTTCCGTCCTTCGCATGTGAATACCCAGTTGTCCCAGCCCGTTTGTTGAATCCGTCCCCTTCATCACATTAGGTTGTCTGGACTCTCTGGTCAAAATCCATTCGACTGTAAATGTCACGTAAATGGGAGGTGTTGCCCCTGGATTCTCAGTCCTGCCTCTCAGATCTAGATGCACACTGCTGTGATTACTATAGTCTTGTAATATGGTTTGAAATTAGGAGGTGAGTTCCAGTTTCCTTTCTCTTCAAGCTTATTTTGGCTATTCTAGGTCCCTTCCATTCCCGCATGAATTTTAGGACCTGCCCGTCAATTTCTGCAAACAAGTCAGTTGGAATGTGAATAGATTTCATTGAATCTGTAGACCATTTGGGGGAATGTTGTCGTCTTAACGAGATGAGGTCTTCCAATCCATGAACAGGGGAAGTCTTTCCATTTATTTAGGTCGGCATTCATTTCTTTCAGCAATATTTTCTTGTTTTCAGAGTATAAGTGTTGCACTTTTTTTTTTTTGAGACAGGGTCTTACTATGTAGTTGAAACTGACCTGGAACTCACTATGTAGCCCAGGCTGGTCTCGAACTCACAGCGATCCTCCTGCCTCAGCCTCCCGAGTGCTGGGATTATAGGTGTGCACCACCACGCCCAGCAGTGCTGCACTTTTTAAAGATATTCCTGGCCCGAGGCTGAGGCAGGAGGATCACTGTGAGTTCCAGGTCAGTCTCAACTACATAGTGAGACCTTGTCTCATAAAACAAAAACAAAAACAAAAACAAAAACAAGATATTCCTGGACATTTTTCGATGTAATTGTCAATGGAATTGGTATTTTAAAATTGCATTTTTTAGTTTGCTCATTGCTAGGATATAGAAACACGGCTGATTTTGCATATTGATCTTGTATGTTGCAACCTTGCTGAATTTATTTATGAGTTCTAATCTTGTGTGTGTGTTTGTGTGTACTTAAACAGGATCTTCTATGTATAAAAACATGCATCTGCAAACAAATTGTTTTACCACTTTTCCAACTGGATATTTATTTTTTGAATTTGCCTAACTGCAAATTTTTATTTTTAATTAAGTATCTATTTTAATTTTTAATTTTGATTTTTAATCATGAAGGGATGTTGGATTTCATCAAATGCTTTTTCTAAGAAATATCTTTTGTGGTACTGGGGAATAAACCCAGGGCCTTTGCACTAGCTACATCCCCAGCCCTTTTATTTTGAGACAAGATCTCACTAAGTTGCTAGGCTATCCAGGCTGGGCTCAAATTTGTGATGCTTCTGCCTCAGCCTTCCACAATGCTGAGATTACAGGTCTGTACTACCAGGACCATCTGAGAAATCCTTTCTTTTAAAATGTAACAGGAAACCCCATCCTTTCTTCTGAGGGTGCAAACTCTGATGTAGCATCAGATGAGAAAGGTAATAAAATACTGGCGTCATTGTTGGTAAAAACAGCTGTGGCTGCTTCCCGCAGCAGGAGGGCTGTGCTCACGGGCCACCTCCTCTCTGCCCAGGCCTACGAGAAGCGCTTCCCCACCTGCCCGCAGATCCCCGTTTTCCTGGGCAGCGAGGTCCTGCGCGAGTCCCACAGCCCGGACGGGGCGGTGCACGTAGTGGAGCGGAGCTGCCGGCTGCGCGTGGACGCCCCGCGGCTGCTGCGGAAGGTGGGTGGTCAGAAGGCGAGGAATGAGGGGTGGAGGGCAGGGCTGGGCTGGGCTGGGGGTCGCCGGAGTGCACGGAGGGGTAAGGGTTCGGCCGGGGGGCAGTGCCAAGCTGGGGTGCAGAAGTGGTGCCGAAGTCTGGGTCTGGGCTGGGTGGGCCCCGAGGGGAGGGACCCGGGGCCAGGATCCCAGGGACCAGGCTGGTCCTTGGCGGGGTGGGGTGTCTCACCCATGTCTCCAGCGTTAGCTGCTCCCTCCTTTTCAGGTTGCTGGCGTGGAGCACGTGGTCTTCGTGCAGAAAAACGTCCTGAACTGGAGGGAGAGGACGCTGCACATTGAGGCTCACAATGAGACCTTCGCCAACCGTGTGGTGGTCAACGAGACCTGCAGCTACACGGTGCTGTCTTCTCCCTGCTGTCCCTTTCCCCCTCCCCGGTCACTGTCAGGTAACATGCAGGGTGCCCATTTGGTGTACAGTTTGGATAAACAGCTGGTGATATTGTTTTGTGTGTCTCAGTACTGGTCTGGATGTACTTACAGGGAGTCTTTCTTCATTGCTAACCTGAAGGGCAGACGTGCAGGGCATCTTGTATGTGCTTAAACTGGCAGCCTTCTCTCTTTCCCTTTTCCCTCTCTCCTCTCCTTACATCTTTCATGAAACTGTTCAATTCCTGGCCTGAAAAGTGGTCATCGTCAGTCACGCCTGCCACCTGTGTTGTGGTGAGCATTAACTCAAGTAAGGTGTTCGTATCCAAACCCCTTAGGCCGGAGCCTTGCACAGACTAAGTTTCATGAAATGTTACTTTCCAAGTAATAGTGATTATTCACTGATGAATGATTATTATTCTCTAGTTCATACTGTGGGAACGCCTGCCGGGCACTGGGCACCCAACCATGGGCCAGCTTGTCCAGCCACTGGCCTCACGTGGCTTCCACTGGGGTGGGAGACACCGAGGAGACGCCACACATCCCCCTGTATTTCCCTGCCACAGGGCTAGGAAGGGACCCAGCAGCAGGACTACAGGGACAAGAGGAGATGTCCCTCTTAGGTCCCAGTGCCACTCTCTCAGGAAGTGCCACTGAGGCTGAGAGCTGACAGATGAGAGGTGCTGCCCCATGAAGGGCTGGGAACAGCATGGTGAGCGGCAGCAAGGTGAGACCAGGCAGAGCTGCAGGACGGGGTCCGGTTAGCCATGGGGCCTAGACGACACTGGCTGAGTGCAACTAGCTCTTCTGTCTTCTTGCTGAGTGACAGTAGGCAAGTCACGTCCCCTTTCTGGGCCATACCATCCATACCTGTAAGCGGATATTAATGAGCCCTGCCTTGCACACCATCAGGTTGCGGGAGGGTGGGGGTGGCTGAGCAGATGATGTAGGCAAAGCCCCAGATCAGAGTTTGCACGAGGGCAGCTCCAGAGTGATGAGTACGGAGCATCGTGGCTGACTGGTGTGTCTCTGCTAGATCTCTCCCGTTCATCTCCCAGGTCCCTGCCCCTTAGCCCGCTGCTCTGTGTGCAGCAGACAACCACTAAATGCCCACTGAGTCTCTTTTCTTCACCTCCTGGAGCCTCGTGGAGACAGGCCGGCATTCAGGCCTCCTGTGAGCAGCAGGTGTCTGTGTACGGTGCCCTGGGTGACTGTCAGCAGCGGAACTGGTAACCCCGAAGCTGCCTGTGGGTGCAGTTCCCCAGCCCTACCCAGCACCTGATCACCATCAGGGGTGGGCCTGGGGAGCTGTGTGTTCTCTAGGCTCCCTGGTAACTTTCCTGGGAGCATGAAGTCAGTGTTTTAATAGTAGCTTTGCTAATTAAGTTCTTTTTCGCTGACATATTTATATTTATGGATACATAAGGGTATGCAGTGTGATAAAAATATGGTGTTTAAATTTTAAAAATGTATTACAATAAAAGACACATTGCCTTCAACTCCCTCAAAGTAGTTCCCCTCAAGCTGAGGATTTAGCTTGGCGGCACTGTGCCTGCCCGGCAAGTACAAGGTCCTGAGTTCGATTCCCAGTACCAAAAAACCCCACAAAAAACAAAACAATTGCCGTCACTTCTCTTTGAACACATTGATCCTATTCTTGTCCCTTTCTGAAGTAGTTCTGAAAGTCCTCTTTCATTAATGTCTTTAGTTGTGTTATTGTGATTGCTTTGACATCCTTTCATGGTTATTTTGACTTTGGGGAGGAGCCCAGAGTGGCATGGGGCTGGATTTTGTGAATAGGAGGGATAAGAATTCACAATAATGTTTTATTTCTTCCTGGCATGAGGAATTGATCTCAGGGCCTTGCGATTGCCAGGCTGGTGCCTCACTGCTGAGCTACATCCCTGGCCCAACCATAATGTTTTTTTTTGGGGGGGGTACTGGGACTTGAACTCAGGACCTTGCACTTGCCACGTAGGCACAGTGCCACTGAGCTCAATTCCCGGCCCCCAACCCTAATGTGTTTAACAAGCCTGCCTGTCTGTTCAGTGGCACTTGGCAGCTACATTCACCGCATTTTTTATCACACCTCCTAAAGACACTCATGAAAGTGGCAAGAATGATGTGTTTGAAGCGAGCAGTGGTATTTTGAGCGGGAGTGATGGTGATGTGTCTTTTACTGTAATACATTTTTATTTAAACATTCACTATATTTTTGATGGAACCACGCATGTAATATGTCATATAAATACCTAGTAACAAAAATATATATTCATGAAACGTATATGTAGTATTGATATATAACTTAGTTATAGTATATAAGTGACATACTATACTAGACCTATTATTTGCATATAGCTCTACATCTCTGCATATAATTTTTTTTTTGGTACTGGGGATCAAACTTGGGTCCTTGCGCTTGCAAGGCCAGCAGCAAAACCACTGAGCTAAATCCCCAGCTATCTGCATATGTTGTTAAGGGGTAGGGGCTCAGCTATCAGATCCTGCTTCTCTAGCCCCTCATGAAAGGGCTTTGCTCCTTAACATTGTAGACCTGGCCTTGTCCCCTGAGTGGGGGCCCTTGGTGTCTCTAGGACCTGACATGCTGTCTACCGCCCTCGGGAGGGCGTGGCAGCCCCCACACTGAGACTCAGCCATCACCCTGCCTGGCTTTCAGGTCCACCCCGAGAACGAAGACTGGACTTGCTTTGAGCAGTCGGCCTCCCTGGACATCCGATCCTTCTTTGGCTTTGAAAGTGCCTTGGAGAAGATTGCCATGAAACAGTACACGGCCAACGTCAAGAGGGTGAGGGAGGAGGTGCCCGGCCTCCTGCCCCCGGCAACCTGTGTGATCCTGGGCAAGAGGCTTCACCTTCCCAGCTGCTCTTCTCATCTGTAAAATGGGGTTCTAGTCATGACCCTATCACAAGAGATAATAGAGGAGACCGCACTGGGGTCCCCCAATGTGGTGGGGTCTTGTGTAGTGAACTCAGTAGATGGAGTGGGGAGATTCTGCCATGGGTTTTCCTGGTTAAAGTTGTCACTGTTTGGTTTAAAGAACTCAGAATCATTAGCTGGGTAGAGGCCTGTTTATGTAATTACAGGTGGAATTAATGTTAGCATATGCGCTGCCAAAGTGAGCACTAGTGAAATTAACTTTAATAGCATACTTTACTTAACGTGTTATCAATACAAAAGTGCATTAGTTTATATTCTTTGTTCCATTCTAAGTCCAGAAATCCTACATGTTCCTGACAGTCTCAGCATACCCCCATTTATTGCAGCTGTCCACGGGCCCCAGTGTCGGGGCTGGGACCCTCAGCGGGGCTGTGGGGGTGACCTACAGAGGAGTGGTGGCCCTGCTCCTGGCCCATGGTGACTTGTCTGGGGTTTCTCCGGCTTCTAGGGGAAGGAGGTGATCGAGCATTACCTGCATGAGCTCATAGCCCAGGGCACCTCGCACCTTCCCCGCTGGACACTGGCCCCAGTGCAGGAGCAGGACGCTCACAGACAGCCCGGGCCACAGGACCCCAGCTCCCTGGAGGACACAGTGATCGGCAGCACCCCAGGCCTTGCTCTGGAGAGTGGCAGTACTGATGGTAGGTGGCTGTACCAGTCCAGCGGGCCAGGTCCTCACCCTCGACCCGCAGTCCAGGGCAGCCTTCAGCACTGCCTAGCTCCTTGGGAGGAGGGGAGAGTGGCCCTGGGTCCCCTTGGCCGGGTGGAGGGTAGGGAAAGGAGTGCTCTGGGTCTGAAATGACTCGGCCTCCTCCCTCTGCTGGCTGCTTCTCTGCCTCTCCATTCTGGCCGGAGCTGGCTTATTTCTAGATCAGGAACCGACCTCCAATTCCTTAGCACTGACTTGCTGTCTGCTTATTACTATTTTTAATTATACGAGTAATGCATGCTCATGGCAGAAAAAAATTCAGACCACTGGAAAGATGCAAAATGCAGTAAGAGTCCTTCCCTCTCCCTGGAGGCTGTAACGGTTTTACCTTTCATGAAGCTGCCTAGGCATGTCTGTGTACATGATATGTATGTATGCACATGTGTTAACATGCATACACACGTCTAACTTATGTTGAACAACCGAGAGCATGTTAGACGTCTTATTTGACACTTTTCCTTTTCTCACTAATGTCTGAATAACTTTTCATATAAGTGTGTGTATCTTTTTTTTTGCATGTGTTTTCTTTTAATACTACAGTATAGATGGTTGCTCCTTATTTATTAGTAAGACTATATTTAATTATTACTATTTTTTCAATATTGGGTATTGAATCCAAGGTCTTGAACATACTAAGCAAGAGCTCTACCACTGAGCTATATCTCCAGCCTTTTTTATTTTGAGAGTTGCCTGGGCTGGGCTTAAACTTGCAATCCTCCTGCCTCAGCCTCCCAGAATGCTGAAATTAAAGATGTGTGCCACGACACCTGGTTCGTTAAAAAAAAAAATTACAGCTGGGAGTGGTGGTGCATGCCTGTAATCCCAGCATTCAGGAGGCTGAAGCAGGAGGATCACTGTGAGTTTGAGGCCACCCTGGGCTACATTACTGTTTAAGGCCAGCCTGAACTGCATAACAAAACTGTCTCAAAAAACCAAAAGAAGCTGGGGATTTAGCTCAGTGGTTCCACCATCTCCCTTGTAGGCACAAGGTCCTGAGTTCAATCCCCGGTACCAAAAAACAAAACAAAGCAAAAAAAACAATGTGACATATCTTGTACTTAATGATTTTATATTCCTCTGTTCATATATATAAGGGGTGATCAAAATATGGTAATTGTTTACTAATAATTTTATAGTAAAAGACACAGCCATTAACCCCCCCAACAGTACTCTTTTTTGCTTTGACCACATTTGTCCTGTCACTGTCGTCACTTTCTGAAGCAGTTCTGGAAGTCTTCTGTGGCTTTGTGCATCGAGAAAAAAAATACAGTGAATGGGGCTGCCGAGTGCCATCCAAGAGAAAGGCAGACTCGTAAGAACAGCTGAGGGTGTTCTCTTCCACCTCATTCACTGGATCTGGCCCTGTGAAACTTTTGGTTCTTCTCCAAGGTGTAAATAACCATAAAACATGAATGTTTTTAATGGACTCAGAACACTGAGGCAGTTATAACAGCACAACTAAAGACACTCATGAAAGAAGACTTCCGGAACTGCTCCAGGTGGGAAGAGCGATGTGATAAGCATGTTCAAAGTGAGGGGAGGATTTTGCACGGGATTAATGCAATGTGTCTTCTACTGTAATAAAAATTTTTTATACCAAATATTATTCACACACTATATTTTTCTATCACATCTTGTTCGTAGCATACATTTTTTTCTTCCTTCCTTCCTTTCTTCTTCTTCTTCTTTTTTTTTTTTTT